TCGTAAAAAAATCTTTGTACTCTTCTAACTTGCTAAACCAGTTCAAACCTGCCACTACGGTTTGTTTATCATGTGTCGCCATCTTATGTTATACTTGTAATAGAATTTCAGAAATATGGTTTTCTCTATATACATATTTTACTAATCCTTACTCCTAAAGACAAATTATGATCACCTGATGATTATGATGCTATAGTTTTATCAGAAATTCCAGATATTGAATTAAATCCACTTGCTTATGAGATAGTCTCAGCTATGATAATACATAGCCTATGTGGTTCTTTGAATACAAATGCTCCATGTATGAAAAATAGTGTTTATAAAAAAGATTATCCCAAGAGTTTCCAAGAACAAACTATAGAGAATAATAGTGAATACTCTATTTACTACAAGCAAAACACTAATCAATTTGTAAAAATTAGAGATAATATTAGATTAGATAATAGATGAGTTGTACTTTATAATGTCAAATTGGTTATAAAATATAATACTAATACTCATATTAATATTAAAATCTGCAGTTCTATATTAGCTGTTAAATATTTATATAAATATGTTTACAAAGGGTATAACCACACAACTCTTACCTTTTCTCATTCTAGTCAAACAAATAACTAGCAACTACTATCTGAATCTGTCCAAATTGATGAAATCAAAATATACCTTGATACAAGGTACATTTTAGCTTTTGAGGCTATCTGGAGAATTTTTCATTACAAACTACATAACCATGCTTCAAAAGTACAATAACTTGCAGTCCATCTTCCAAGACATCAGCATATTTCTTTTCAGAATAGAGAAGATCTTCAAGATATCATTAATCATGCTAATAATCAGATAATAACTTTAATAGCTTGGTTTGAAGAAAATAAAAATAATCTTGTAGCACATAAATATCATCAGCAAAAAAAATATACAAAAATTTGCGAAAATATTTGCGGCTCCGAAAAACTTCGAAAATTTTCCGATTACCTCGAAAAACTTCGAAAAATTATTTTTCGAAAAATTTCGAAAAAAAAGTCGAAAAAATGCGAAAATATTTGCAGAAACATGCGAAAAGGGTTTACTAATATTTTAAAAAATAGTAAAAAAAAATTGCAAATATTTTCGCAAACCTTCGAAAAAATTGCGATTACTTCGAAAAATAGCGAAATAAATTTCGAAAACACGTAAAATAAGTTTCTAATATATAAAAATTAAACTTCTCAAAGTATTGCGAATTTTATTAAATAATTTCGAATAATTGAATATGCGAATCAGTATTACTAATTAAAATATAGAGAATCTCGAAAAATTGCGCAAATATGCGAAATGATTTGAAATTTCGATTATTTGCGAGAATTTCAATATATAGCAAAATAACGTTAAAAAATTCAAAAATAAACAAGAAATGATAAACATATGATTTCATTTTATTTAAAAATTCAAAGAAATTACATTTAATAAAGCGAAGTTATAATAGTTTATTAAGAAAAATCTAAAATAAAAAACAAAAAAAAGAAGCATTATTTGCATAAAAAAAAACAAAAAAAAACAAAAAGATTTACACATCATCTTGATCATTAGGTTCTTGTTCATCTTCGGATAAATCTATAATATATACAATTATTATAGTCTTCTTAATTATTTTGGATATTTTTAAATCTTTCTAACTAAAGGCTAAGTTAATAAAAAATTTTGACTACTCTTACCTTCTCTTCGTCTTTTTCTTGTCTAAAAGAATATTTTTAAATTATTATATATTTAAATTAAAATTTTCATATTTTAAATTTGTTAAAATAATACAAACATTTTCAGAAGTTTGCGAAGTACTTCGTCTACTACTGCTTGTCTATTAATTATATAAATTTCAAATTATTTAAAATATAACAATATAGATCTTTTAAAGTAATAATTTATACTTTATCAGTTTCATCAGATTTTTTAGAATCTTCACTATCTTCTTCTTCAGAGCTGAATTTTTCTTCATCAGAACCAGGAGGGTAAAAGACTCCATCTCCTTCCAAAGTACGCTAAATGATATCGAAGTACTTCGAAATATGTTAAAATATAATAACTAAACAAACAAAAATACTTACTAAATTTTTTGCAAGCATATGTTTAACGTTATCCTCTGACACCAATAATGTACTATTATTCGGATTTAGTACTGCCTGGCAAACTGAAATTGCAAATGCTATTTGTTCGTTAGTAGCTTCCCCAGAGGGCCAAATTTTTTGCAATATCTGTTCCATATAGGTATCATCCGAATTATTCATCTTATCAAAAAGAAGCTTATAACAGGCCTTAGTTTTTTTAGATCGTTTCCATTCAAGAACTTTCTCAGGGGATGCTTTCTTATTTATAGGATCTAAAAGCCCTTCTCCAAATACCGAAAACATGAAAGTTTTAATTTTAGTTGTCAAGGAACTTCGCAACGATCTAAGTTTTTCCAAAAGCTAAAATAATTTTAAATAATATAGTATTATAGAAATTTTTTAATAGATTCGAAAGTTTTTGAAATGTTTAAACATAATTTATAAAAATAAAAAATTAAATAAAAATTCTTACTGGTCCATGAAAATTCTTAGCATAATAGGCATTCCAAGTTTTCTTTGACCTATTATTAAAAAAATCATTATGATTAGTTCTAATATAAACTTCTGTAGCGGTTTTAAATTGTTCTTCTGTAGGGTAAATCGATTTTTCAATTAAGGCTTTAGCTGTCCCCTTGATCGTTTGCTAATTATATAAAATTATTAGAATAAAATATAAAAAATAATTAAATAAAATAAAAAATTTACTGTACCTCCAAAAATGCCTTTTCATGAGTAACATCAAATTTTTCGACCAATTGCTCTTCCATTTCTTTAAGCCGATTTTCAACTCGCGCAACTTGAGATGTAAGCTGACTCAAATGATGAAGAATCTCCTCTTGGTTTTCTAAAACCTTCGCTAAAGTTCTTCTATCCGGTACTATCAATAAAAATAATAAAATTTAATAATATATTACTCTGTATATAATTTAAAATTAATTAAATACCTTCGGAGGTTTGCGAAGTCTCATATGAAACAGAAGGAATCACAACATTTTTAGCTTCAAGTTCTGTTTCATTTCGCTGTACTTCTTCTCTTGTCTTCTTAGCTTTCTTAACATTTTTTGAAGTTTTCTTTGGAGCAACGAATAACTTGTACATTTTTTCTAATTTTTATTTTATTTAGTAAAGTTAAATGTATAAATAGTAATAAATTGCAGATTACTTTGAAGTATTTCGAAGTATTTAAGTTAAATTTGACATATTATATAAATACTTACCTAAGTTATAAATAATTTAAAAAAAATCTTATAAAGAAAGTTAGAATATTAAATTTAAAAAAAAACTAATAAAATTTGAATAGTAAAAATATAATAATAAAATTTTCAAAGCTTTCGATTTTTTAGTATTTTCAAAGATAGCGTAAGTTTTCGAAGGTTTAAGTTTTATCCGCAATGAAAACAAATGTAGATCATAGATCTATTTATTATCTATTTATAGCAAAGTATAATTAAAGTTTCAAAAATTTTCGCAATTATTAAAATTAGCACGTGATATTTCGATTATTATAAATTTTTTTCAAATTATAACTTAGATATGAATTATTTATTCGAATAAAATTGTTTTTTTTAATTAACACAAATAAACTTGAATTCTTTGTATTGCTATTGTTTTTAACAATGGAAATAAAATTTATTTATCGCACTATTCAAAAATAGTAATTTTAATATTAATTATCAATAGCGTTAGCAATAAGACGCAATAACATTTTCACATTAATCCTAAATCAGTATAAATTTTACCAAATACTTTTAATTAATTATTTTACATATAGTTAGTGCTTAGCATAAACATGCAAATACTCTACAGTCAAATTATTATCATCGAACTATTAAAAGAATATGTGTATATTATGTTTAATATTGGTTAATATGCGAGATGCTATACAGACTAACCAAAGAAATTGATTTTAGATTTTACTTGAATGCGCATAAATATGAGCTCACGTTCTATTTGTTTTTATAGAATTTTTATTCTACTTTTTAAAATTTTGAAACTTTCATTATAATAAAATTTCTTTTAATTTTGAATATTTATAAAATGTCTAGCTTTAAATACTCTTTCTGTCCCCGCACTTTTGCCTCCCGAATTGGATTGAATAAGCATATGTCTAAGTGTGCTCTTACAGTTGCAGAAGATGATTGTTTTACTCTTAATGTTTCTGATCTATCTTGCAAACCTTCGAAGTTAGTTAATATATCTCAAGAAGAGGGTTTTGATTTTAATGAAAAGAAATTAGAAAGTGGATTTTCTTCTAAAAAGATTTCGTTTAAAGATATTAGTTTTCGAAATACTTCGAAAACGTTTAATAATATTAGTAGTAATATTAATGATGATTTAGAAAGTGATATTGCAGGTTCTTCGATTTTATTTAATAAAGTTGATACTTCTGAAGATTTAGCAGATATGTTTTTTGAATTAGAAGACATCGCAAATACGTCAATTTTTTTTTTTTTTTTTTTTTTTTTTTTTTTTTTTTTTTTTTATTTTAAACCGATGTCACGGTGCTAACGCTTTATTGTGTTT